AAGCAAAGAGAAAGAAGAAAGGGGGGCACACAATAAGCAGTCAACATCACATGTGTCTGTGTGGAAACAATACCCCCATCCCGTAGTTCCTATGAGTGAATTATGTAACCTAGTTAATTAGTGATCATACAATATATAAAATTAATGCTATTTGTGTGTTTTGTTACTTTGTTCTGAAAGCTGAACCTGCTGATCCTCACAGAGAGAAGAGGGAAGAGGCTGTGTGAATTACTTTACATTGTGGATAAGGGTGGATAGCCCCCATTGTTCTGTGTGTCAAAATTAAAGACAGCCCACACACCTATCAATCATCAAACCGTGGGGTCTTATTTCAGTACGTGTTGAATATTGTATCCATGGATGTATAAAGATTAGGGCTGTCAGTCAATTAAAATATTTAATCGCGATTAATCGCATGATTGTCCATAGTTAATCGCACATTTTTTATCTGTTCTAAATGTACCTTAGAGGAATATTTTTCAAGTTTTTATGAGTGGACAAATATGCTTTATGCAAATGTTTATTATCATTTGAACAATGACAAATATTCTCATGAATATTAAACACAACAACCTCTGAACATTACAAATATTCGCCTCAATTCAACCTGGAACCTCTCTCATACAATACAACAATACAAAGTGTGTGTGTATGTGTATGTGTATATGTGTGGGTGTGTGTGTGTGTGTGTGTGTGTGTGTGTGTGTGTGTGTGTGTGTGTGTGTGTGTGTGTGTGTGTGTGTGTGTGTGTGTGTGTGTGTGTGATGGATCGTTGGAGCTATGTGCAACTCAAGGCATATGCTCGAACGGGAGCGGCCTGGACGCTGTGATCATGTTGCGCGCACTATCCGTGCTGAGTGTGCTGACTTATCCCACAATGCCACTCTGTCTGGCTACCTGCATAAAGTGAAGTGCTTGGCGCAGTTGTCGGCGAAATGTCACTCCTCTGTTTTAATTTAAACAGCTCCTTATATCCGTTAGCAGAGCTAGCTAGCACCAGATGCTAACAACAACAACAATACACGTAAGGTCTCTCTCTCGCGCCACACATACACACACCCTCCCGGTCCTCCCGATGGCCAGTCGGTGCCTGCCGGTGAGCGTGGAAGTGTGGTCTGCCACAAGTGAGCGGCAGGAGCGGGGCTGTCAGCATCAGCTTGTAGATGGTATTTTAAACTCGATGCGCTCTGAAACTACGGGGCGGCCGAGGACAAAAAATACACATGCGTTAATCGCGTTAAAATAATTAGTGGCGTTAATTTTTTAACGCGTTAACTTGACAGCCCTAATTATTATATATTATCATTATGTCAGTGGTCTAAAATGGTCTTACAACGGTGCCGACGATATTATCGTTTATCGCAATAATTTCCGGGAAAATGTATCGTCCAACAAAATTAATTCTCGTGACAGGCCTAGGGACATGTCCCCCCTGTCCCCAGTGGAAATTACGCCCCTGGCTGTAGCAAATATATCACAGGGATTCTAAAAATGTTAAAGTACAGTTCGAGATGTGATGCTGTAATGTAATTAAGTCTTACATATGGGAGTATGATATTAGGATCATACCTGAAACTTTGTCCTCCAGTTTGACAATCGCCATTTGGCCCTTGGCTGTGATCCTCATTCTACCAGACCAGTCTGGAGAATCCAGCTTCCAGTCAGCTGCCCTGTGGACAAGCATGGTGTTAGACTGTAATGTTACGCATACAAAATTGAATATTAAGAGGAACATATTTATATATAAAACAACTATCTGTTTTACAAAAAGTAAGTTAGGTCTTTTTAACAGATTGAACAAATTTGACAATACTCATAATCTGTTATTCTGTCGTACGTGTGTCAAAAGGCATTATAATTTATAAACATATAATATGGTTGTGGATGCAAGTTTTAGCAAATGAAGAAAGATTTGTTTAATTTTACGAATGCCTACAGATATAAAAGCCTAAAGGTATTCAGTATTTAACTTATTGTAAGGTTTTTTAGAGAACAAGTCAATGTATACAGTAGTCTACACAAAAAGCAGGTAAAAACATGTTCAAAACATATTTTGTTTACCTTTTTCCTTTATTTTATATCATTCCTACAATCGTGTTGTGAGCCTTAAACCTCCAATTTAAACTACATTTCATAATACATTAATAGTGGTTTGGACATTGACGGTCGCTCAAAATGTTATCATTCCCTGCATGCAGCACACCCAGACAATGTCACTGTCTCACATGCATGTATGCAAACATAAAGTCTAACTCTGTATTCCCAACCTCAATCAAAGACTATCCACACAGAAGACGATGCAAACCGTTTTGTTTCAGTTCAATAGTGTCACTGTGGAGAGAGGACGTCCAAGCTGTCACACAAGAGCGGGACAGTCCTGGCAAATGGCCCGTATCGACCCGGCAGAATGACAACCCCCCCGTCACAACTCTGACCGCTATTGACAACAAAGCGACACACAGAACCGGCCAACGATTCATATACTATACAAGGCGACCCATTTAATTTCTGCCTTCCACAGTCACAACATAAAGCCCCCTCGACGTGATATGAAGCATGTTCTGGCATCGAGCAGTGAAAGTGAAATACCCGCACCGGCACCGAGCGACACCAAACCCCGTTAAAGAACATTCCACAGCGCCGTTAACCACCGGCAGGTTCCTCTGTACCTGTATGCGCGGTTTGAGGCTCGCGGCGGGATGCGATAAACGTTGACATCGGGTTTTACGCACAGGATCGACTCGTACTCGCCCTCGGCCGCCATCTTGATTCAACTGTTATTGATGTGGGAGTTGTGGTTGTGACTCATGTATTCGGTGTGTGTGTGTGTGTGTGTGTTTGTGCGTGTGCGTGCGTGCGTGGTAGCACAACCGCATCAGAGATTTTATTAATTGTTAGGTACCTAAGTATCATGAAGCTGCTTTAAATTGAAGTAGGACGAATAATGACATGTTTATCAATAAATAAATAAATGCTAATACAAATATTGAAATATATTCGTAAATACGGAAATACATCTTATAGGCCTACTGAAAAACCCAAATAAATGAAATAAACAATGATTATTTACATTTAAATAATTAAATATTGCAATTAGATGCATACATGCATAACATAAATGCGCTAATAAATACAGAACAAATTAATCAAGTCATACTACAACTTAAGAATATAAATTAAAAAATATTTTTGTATGTATTTGGACATTTTTGTTCAACACTTATCCTTTATATGTTTATATAATTGTGTCCTGTTTAATGAAACTTTAATTAATGCATATATATTTACTACAATATTTATTCAAATGTGTATAAATTTGTATAACATTCTCCTCCTTTTTATAGCAACATAATCAACGTTCTGCTCAAATGAAATTCTGGAATAGAAAAACAAGGAGCTATGATTTTGTATTTAATTTAAAATATATATATCGTGAGGGGGCGTGGGCTTGCAGGTGCTGGGACTGCGGAAGCGGAAACCGTCGTGGTGTAGTCTCCTGGAAGATTCCTGAAGATCTGCTCAGGGTTAGTCCTTTCATTTTTTCTGCAAATACGCACATTTAATAAACGAAATAACACGCGGCGAGTGCGTGTTATTTTGAACTCATATTAGCGCTGCTTTTCTCGAAATACAACCCTTCATTTGTTGGCTGATGTCTGGTATGTAAGCTGATTCCAGCTGGCTTGATAACAGCAGGGTTAACCATTAGCCATATTGACGGCTGCTGGCCGTCTTCAGTCGCTCTCCGAGGTCCTGAAAACACGGACCGTGGATCCTCAGAGACACGTTACTACTAAGCATTTCGACTTAGAGTTAACATGACTCAGATTGATCATCAATGTGCACTTCAAATCAGGTTTCAGCGTATATTTTCCTCACCTAGCCACAGGAGGCTGGCAGCTAACTAGCTTGTAGCTTAGCCAGATAGCTAACCTTGATGAGAATCTGTGTTTGTCGCAGTGATGATGACAAACTGTCACGAGCTATCATATAGAGCAGGTGTAAGCACACCTATAGTGTAGCTTTGCAGTCACACATTCATTATCGCATGCTGGCTTTTGTCACTCAGTGCCAACCCGTGCCTCAGCTCTTTTTTATGTTGACTGGTTCCTCCCTGCAGCTGTAGGATCTGGTTTCTGGAACCCTGAGACAAGTCAATGCAGTCAGGCGGAAGAGAGAGCAGCAGGATGAACGCTCACTGAGCCAGCACTGAAAACGTTTAAAAATACATCTTGGACAGCACAGACTTTACAAAGGTATTGGAGTTTTATTTGTTCGAGATTATGTTTAAACGTGTATATAATTGGGGATCATTCTTCTTTGTAAGCATGCAATATTGTTTACAAGTTTTCTCTGAAACAGATTGCGGTGGTTTTATTCCCCACCAACCCTACACACACACCATGACGTCCTCTATGCTCCGCCGACAGCTGAAGAACCTGGTCCAGAACTACTCTGAGGCTGAGGTCAAGGTAAATCAACTCTATTTGAAAGGGGTAAACAACTCAATTTGGCCTTAGCCAGGGAATACAATGCTTTCCTATTGTATTCTTAACTCTAGTTTAGGAAGCATTTATACAAAAGGATGTTTTAATAATAATAATAATATTACTAATACATTGGATTTTTATAGCGCTTTTCCTAGTGCTCAAAGACTTTTAATTTTTGAACGTTTTTCGCTTTTAATATATCACTAGGCAGTAAAAGTGGCATGACATATATCTGATAATGGACACTTTAAATCTGTGTACTATTAGCACAAGATGCCATGTTTTAATATCACAAAACAGAAACAACTGTTCAACATCTTGAACAGTTGCCCCCACCAGCCGATCAGTTGATTTGACATTTGAAGGAAACATAGAGATGTGGATGTTTTTGGCAAAAATGCTTATCCGATGAAACATGATCTGGAAAGAACAGACTCCTTATCATTTTTGTTGGCATGATGAAATTTGATTTTAGCAAGGATGACTTGCTACATTTTTAATTGGGGTCACTGTTTGTAACTGTGAGCCCTTTGGCACAAGCTGGCATCTGACCTTTGGAATGCAGCCACCTTGGGTTCCCTTAACACTGACATGTCTTGCTTCACTTCCTCTGCAGGTGAGAGAGGCGACTTCTAATGACCCATGGGGCCCATCCAGCACTCAGATGGCAGACCTCTCTGATCTGACCTACAATGTGGTAGCCTGCAACGAGATCATGACAATGCTCTGGAGGCGTCTGAAAGACGACAAGAACTGGAGACACATCCACAAGGTATCAATACACACACAAATGGATTGTGTAACAAGACTGTGGTAAAAGTGTTATTCAAACAGTCATTATGGATGTTATGTCAGCTATAAGGGGGCCCAATCAGGCTTTTTGGGACGTTTTCCTTGTCCTTCTCTCCAACACACTCACCCCCCCCCCGAACTTGCTACCCCGTGATTCAAAGTTCAGCGCAATACAATTATAAAACCTGAAAATTTGCAAAATAAGGCCCCTTTAAGATTTAAGTACTTTTGTAGATACAGGACATTTTGCCAAACACCTATTTTTTTGTAAAAGACAATGTGGCTCCCTCTCTGGTGTTTCAAATGGACAAGCCTTCTTTTCAAAACAATGGCTTTTACCATCATGATCTTCTTTTCAAATGTTTTACATAATAGTCCATCTTTTACTTAGCATTTGGTACCCTACACTTATTGATTAGGTAATGATTAAATAAATGATAGAAAATGTAATGAAAGCACGATATTCCCCCTAGACTGATCGTTACATGCTCAGGGATACCCGAAGGTTTATAAGATTAAAAAACGTTGAATTGTTCACTAACAAAGCAGTATTTCACAGTTTTTATTCAATTGAAATGTACTGGCATTTAGTTGAAGCACTCTCTCTTCCTTCACATGACATTCATTATTTATCTGCTTTTTAGTAAAGACGTCAACTGCACCGCATATCTGCTATTAAGTTACGGGTATCACCAGGGTAACATGGCAGTCCATGGTGACTTTGCCAGTTATGTGCCTTTTTTTTTTATTGGCACATCAGTTACACTATAGTCCGCTAAAAGCATTGTGTGTTTTGAAGCTTTTCAAGTGTTTATCCTGATGTTTTTTATTTAGCTCATTCAATTCAAACAAAAAATAAGATAAACGATAGAGATTGTCTTTTTCTGTTTCAGTTGTATTTCTTTCTCATACATTTCTCATGCCTATTTCTATACAAGTCCCTGACACTGTTGGAGTACCTGTTAAAGACCGGGGACGACCGCGTGCTTCTGCAAATGAAAGACAACATCTACATCGTCAAAGCTCTCACAGAGTATCGCTTTATAGAAAAGGATGGCAAAGATCAGGTAATACTTTTGATAACCATTTAAAAGAATAACATGTATAATAAATGTATAAAAATGACTAGGAATATATTTTACATTACTTTACATTATCCTAAATGTTTTCAACAAACCTAGAGAAATCCATAGTTTTAATCAAATGTACCGTCTGTTTCATTCGGTCTACTGGAACTGAGGCGTATCCCCTTTACACATGCCATTTTACGATACACTTTCTAGATCTTGGTCATTTTAAACTATTTACTTATCATGGATGAATGATTTTACTCACTAAACATTCAGATCTTGAATTATCAGAGAAAATGCTGAGCCAATTAAAATCTTCTGAACGATTGACCATAATAAAGGAATCCTATTTTGCTGACTATAATATTTGCAATGGTGGTAAGGTTGTGTATTATTAAAACTAAAATACTAGGGCTTTCAGTCGATTCAAATATTTAATCGCGATTAATCGCAAATTAATCGCACATTTTTATCTGCTCTAAATGTACCTCAAGTTTTTAATACTCTTATCAACATATGAGTGGACAAATATGCTTTATGCAAATGTTTGTTTATTATCATTTGAACAATGACAAATATTCTCATGAATATTAAACACAACAACCTCTGAACACCGCTGTCTGGCTACCTGCATAAAGTCAAGTGCAGCTCCTTATATCTGTTAGCGCAGCTAGCTAGCACCAGATGCTAACAACAACAATACACGTAAGGTGTGCACGTTCTCTCTCTCTCGCTTGCTCACGCCACACATAGACACACCCTCCCGGTCCTCCTGATGGCCAGTCGGTGCCTGCCGGTGAGCGTGGAAGTGTGGTCTGCCGCAAGCGGGCGGCAGGAGCGGGGCT